ACTCACACACACGCTCGTCGATGTCCAACCTAATACTGGAAAATTGTGGGAAAAGCGGAGGGGACGACAAGAACCCAGATCATTTAGAAAACCATGGGAATCTTGCACCTATTATCTACTTGCGCCTCCCTGGGCCCCTCTGCCGTGGACTGCGCGTGCTCCGCTGCGCACTTTGGGCGCCCCGCTTGCCTGGGCTCCCGTGCTGTTCCGCCCCGCTGGCCGCACATTTCCTCGATCGGTGCTCGGGCTTCAGCTTGGCATCGCTCGGACGTGTGCATCTTTCCCTCGGCGAGGACCCTCGAGGAGCATCCTTGATCATCTGGCGAAAAAACCACGCATGAAACCGACAAAAACACATGACGATCGAACAACACGCACCCATACCCATAGGGGGGACGGAGGAGGCTATGGGTGCGTGTTGTCGGATGGGGGTCCCCGTTCGAACGGGAGCTTCCCCCAGGGTCCGACAACTCGCACCCATACCCATACCCAGTTCCCCTCCTCTCGACCCTCCTATGGGTATGGGTGTGAGTTGTTCGCTCGTCAACACAGGGAATGGACGTCCGAGCGATGGCCAGTCAGTGGCCCAGGCTCTGCGGTGCCTTGCCCCGCCGGCCCTGCCCGGCGCTCTCCTTGGCGGTTGCCTGGGCTCCTGCGGCGCCCTCTCGCGCCGGCCCGTCGGCGCCTCGGCCCCATGGCCTCCAGGAGCGCAGTGCTCTGCTGACGGAGGGCTCCCCACATCGGATGGCATGCACAGACACACACGGTCCCACATAAGGGGTAAAGGTCAGGAGGGAAAAAAAACACACAGACACAACTAATCGTCGATCCCAAAGAAAATAGGGGGAAATACGGGAACCGGGGGGGGGGAAGACAGAAAGCCAGAAAATATAAGAAAATATGGGGAATCTTTTTATTTGTGTGTATTTCTTTGTGTGTCCTTGGGCCCCTTGAAAAGGGTCCCACATTGCTTTCCCGATGCCGAGCGGTCCCTCTCCGGCCGCTGTTGAGATCACCCTGAGCTGCCACATCACCAAGCTAATATATCCTACACAGGGCTCAATCCTCGTAGCGTTCCACACGTAAGATTGCGATGGCCTTATGGCCGATGCCGCCGACCCTAAATGGGGACGACGGCGACCACGACGACGACGGCGACGGCGACGGCGACGACGAAAAACATTCAGAATCTTGCGGGAACTTATTGACTTTACCTTGGGGCGGGCCTCTTGGGGTGGAAGGCTCGAAATGACGGTTGGTGTTCCCCCTCTCGGGAGCCTCTTTGTGCCCTCTTGGGGCCCTATTCGGCCGTCTTCAGGGCCTCTTAGGCGGTCTTGGAGCGATTTGGGTGACTTCCTGGCTCGTCTTGGAGCGTCGGATGCCCGAACAAGCGGGATGCGAAAAACAAGTTCATTCTCGCCTCTTGGTGGCCTTGGGGCTCGTCTTGGAGCCCGCTAGGGGCGTCTTGGGGGCTTTGAGGCCGTCTTGCGGATATTTTGGGCCGCCTTGGAGCGATCTTGGGCTGTTTCGGGGCCCTCTTGGAGCAAGCCGCGGTACGAGTAAGCTCGAAGCGACATAGAGACAAGAAGTCGAAGGGGCAAGGATGGGTGCTCCCCTCCAGGGGGGGGGGGGGGCATCCCCTGGGACCACCACCACCCCGGACCCCCCCCTCCCCCGAGACCCCCCCCCAGACCCCTCCCCGGGACCGTCCCCCCCCCGGCGTGGGAGGGGTCCAAAGGACATGAGATTTCCCCTCGTTTCGATTACGACGTTGCTCCCCACCGCTTTAGGTTAATTCGTCTTTGCGCAGCCCGCTCTGACTCGACTCGCCGCTGGCGCGCTCGCCTGCGGCTGCTGATAAAAAATTACGACCTTGCTCGATTTCCCTTCGGCTAGATCGGAGGGCCAGGGACAGGGGGGAGGGAGCGGCGACGGCGACGACGACGACATAAACGGAGAAGCCATTCGCAGACGCCGACAGGGTTGGCGGATCACGAGCTGATGATCACGATGTTGATGATGAGGACGACGATGATGATGCGATGAGGATGAGGATGTTGATGATGATGATGGTGGTGATGGTGATGGTGGTGGTGGTGGTGATGGTGATGATGACGATGATGACGATGATGGCGATGATGTTGATGTTTCAGGATGATGATGGTGGTGATGATGGTGATGATGTTGATGATGGTTCTGATGCGGATGATCACGGTCATGACGATGGCGAGGACGAGGACGATGACGAGGAGGACGTTGATGACGATGAGTATTCTGGTGATGATGGTTGTGGTGATGGATGGTGATGATGGTGATGGTGATGGTGACGGTGATGGTGGTCATGATGTGGACGATTGTGATAACGATGATTTGGATGATGAGGACGATGGTGATTGTAGTGGACTTCGGCCAGTGCCGCCGATCCGGGTCGCTAGGGGTGCCCCCGGATTGGGCGGCGACGTTTCGCCGACAGACACGCACGCACTCGCTCGCAGACGCTACGCGCACGTATGCACACACACACGCACACACACACACACACACACACACACACACACACACACTACAAACAGACACGTACACCACACACACACACACACACACACGCGCGCCCCCTTCGCAGGCACATGCGCACGCACACGCCGGCAACACACACGCATACACACACCACGCACGCCGCGCGCACACACGCACACACAAACACTAACACAAACACAAACACAAACACAAACACACACACACACAGACACACGCACGCACGCACGCACGCACGCACGCACGCACGCACGCACGCACGCACGCACGCACGCACGCACGCACGCACGCACGCACGCACGCAAGCACACACACACACACACACACACACACACGCGCGCACACCACACAACAGAAGCGCATTTCACCGCCACCGTCGCCTTCCCCCCATTATTAATTATCCGTTTTCCGCTCTTGTCCCGTTCCACTTCTCTCTCCCTCTTTCCCAGATTCCCTCCTCGCGCACACGGACAAACATTGCCCCGCGCACGCGCGCATCCCCCCCCCTCCCCTCTTTCCCCGGCAGAGCCACGTCATGACTTCGTCCGGACGCGACCTCCAGACGCCAGGGCCCACTCACCGGGACCAGGGAGTCAGCCCGAGCTGTTTTTTGGACGGCCCCGAGGCCCGCTAAGGGCCCCCTGGGGCCGAAAAGGGTGAAACACCTTTCGTCGTAATTTCTTCATTTCTCGAGGGGGTCTGGGTGAGGGCACTCTTTGGATTTCCCGATGGGATCCCCGTGGGCTGCCCGGGGGCCTCCTGGGAGCCCCTGCAGAGGGCCTCCGTCGTCTCTCTCCACGAGCCTCCTTGGCGGCCCGGGGCCCTCGGGAGGCTCGGACAGGGGGCTTCCGAGAGGCTCTCATGGGGCGTCCAGAAGGCGTTGACACAGGGGCCTTCCGGCGTCGTCTGTCGTCATCGCTCATCCGATCCCCATCCTCATCCCCATCCCCTGCGAGACCCCCACCAAATTACCACCCCAGGTGGGGATGCGCCTTCGAAGCCCGAAGGGAACGGCTTATCTCCCCATCTAGGGGGTGAAATCGGCCAGTGGGGCCCAGGCCGCGCCGCTGGGGATGGCGGTCGGATTTTCGATTTTCAGAGTCGGACGAATTCGAGCGGCTTCATGGGACGCTGTGTGTTCCTTGGGGCATCCAGAAGCTGCCAGGACTAGGGTATCCAAAGTTCCCCACGGATTTCCAAGGCGGCGGCAAATTGGGCGGCCCCATTTCAGCAGGGGGAAAGCGCGCTCGTTTTCGGACGCTGTCCCTGCAAATAGATGATGCAAACGCCCTTCTGTCCGCACAAGGAGCGGGCGGACTGAGGTGGCAGAGGCTGTTCGCCTTTCGCGCGGCGCGATGTGCGAAGGTAGCTTCCCCAGAGGACGCGGTTAGATGCTGAGAGTGAACAGTTTGAAGATGAAGACTGTGTGTGTGCAGGTCGGGCGAGTCCGAGGGGAGATTGAGGCTCTGAGAGGCCCAGGCTGGGCTCCTTGAAAGTCACCATCCCTCGCGATACCCGCAGCGTTAGCGAACGTGTTCTGGCATTGTTCGCGGTCCTGGCGCTGCTTGCCGCTCCGTTCCTGCTGGGGTCCTGCTCCCGTTCCTGGTGGGGGCCTGGCAGCTGCCCCGCGCGAACGACCCAGAGCATTTGTTTCGTGACCGAGCTCCGTGCAAGGGGTAGGCCTGGCTGCCAGGCGAGCCCCCCCAGACCCCCGACGTCACGATTTGTGCATCACGCGGCCCCCAGAGGTGCGGACCCATTCCCCGGGACCGGCTTCTCATCCTGAGTCGTTTTTTGACGGTCCCGCGGCCCGGTATTTGAATGGCGGGCGTGTTTCTTTGTCGTTTAGAGTACATAGAACTGAGTATAACTTGCCTCGAAGTTGGTTGTAAGTTGGGTATAACTTGTTATAGCTGTATGGAGCCGCCCTAACTGATTGCCGCTCGCCGTAGACGATTGACCTGGTTACGTAGTTCAATGAATCGTATTGAGCGGTTGGGACCGTTTTCTAACCACGTTGCGCGAACTGCAGAAGCGCATAGCTTCGGTTACCCGAACCAGTGAAGTACGTTACTAACTTACTTCGCAGCTGGTCCCAACCAAGTTGGCAACATGTTAGTAACCATGTTAGTAACCAGGTCAGCTAAACTGATTACGCATTTGGAGGCCGACAGCAACGAAACACCTCCCGTCGTGATTTCTTCACACCGCGAGGAGGTCTGGGTTAAGGGGTAGGCCCGGCGGCTCGGCGGGCCGCGAGGCAGCCGTGCGCCCCAGAGCCATGCTGGCCCGAGCCGCCCGCGGCCCGTGCCGACCTGGCCCGCGCGCCAGGGCGGCCCTCCCGTGCACGCCGCCGGTGCGCCGGGTCGTCGCTGCCGGCCTCGTGCCGCGCCAGCGCCCCCGCGCGCCGGCGGCCCGCGAGCCGTTGCTCGCCTGACCTGCGCGCGGCAGGCCGCCTCGCTGCACGGCGCCGCTCCCGCGGGCCTCTTCTGGCGCGGCCGCCTCGCGCGAGTCTTGCGCGGGCCCGCCCGGGGCCGGCAGCCGCGCGGTCAGCCACGGCGGCGGCAGGCGGTGCGCCAAGCTGTGCGATGGCCGTGGCAGCGGGGCCGGCCGCGGTGCGGCCCGCCCTCGGCGCCGCGAAGGTTCTGCGCCAGTCTCTTGACGGGCCAGCCGCGAGGCCTGTCGCCGTCGCCGTCGCTGTCGGCTTCGTCGTCGTCGCCGTTCGTGGTCGTCGGCGTCGCCGCCGTCGTCGTCGTCGGGCGGGCTGGCCAGGTCCGCGCTTGTGTTGCTGGCGGCCGCGCTGACTTGGCGCTCGGTGGACGGCTTCGTCATCGACGCGGTGGAGCACCGGCCGACCTTCTACGGGGACGATGCGGTCGCGGGCCCTCCGACGGACCTTCGCGTCGAGAAGCTCAGCGATAGCGGATACGACTCGCAGTACGATTCTTCCGTCCAGATCTCGAGGTTTACATACATCGGATGCTTCGAGGCGGCGATTTCCATGGGGCCCTTGGTCCAGTACGTCGAATCATCAGGGGCAGCAGATCCGTGGGAATGCATCGAGGCAGGGATGGGGAAATCTCTGAAGCGACGTGTCCTTTCCCCCTCCCCCGAGGCGCCTCATTGCGTATTTGTCCTATCCCCATCAGGCGTGCAGAGAGGTGAACAGCCTGAACAACACGATGCGTCCCATTGTGGCGGTAAGCGACTCCACCTGCGTTTGTGCTCAAGACGACATTTCTCTGTTCACGGAGGAGACGGGGGCTTCAATCTGCACAAACAGATGCAAGTACTACGAGAACCCGCTCTGCGGCGGGCCCCCGTCTACCGTCCGTCCGGGCATGACCTATTACGGGGTATATCGCGAGTATGATTTCCAGTCCATGTCTACACAGGGGGCATACGACCCCTGGCGGTATATTTTCTACACGGTGGTTGCCATCAAAGAGACGAGCATCTCTGGAGGCATCGGGGCGCCATATGGGGTCATGCCCGAGAGGTACTTCCTGCACGCCGCGAGCACAACGAACGGAAGCGCCCTCTTCCAGTATGCGCTTGAGAGGCCGATCGGTGGTCTCATCTACGGCCTCCAGTATGACATCGACTCGAATCGGCTCGTCGGCCTGTTTACCAGCAGTTCTGTGGGGCGCATCGAAAACGCGTCGGTCTGGACTTACGCTCTCGCGACAATCAACATCTACGCCTCCAATTGGGAGTATGTCGTTCTGTCACTGCAGCTCTCCGACATCGCCATTACATTGTCCACCTCGAGCAGCTACCTTAACTACAACGGTGTGTCAGCGATTATGTCAGTCGGCCACGACCTCTACCTGTTCACTCAGGGAGACAACGCCGTTCAGAAGCAAGACATAGCGGACAGGTTGTACATCGTCACCATCCCAAGTGGCAAGATCATGTTTCAGGCTCCGCTCTATTTCCGGGTAGTGCAACTATTTACGAACGAGAAGTACGGCGACATCACGGCGATCGGCCCGCGGTATTTGTCAGGCACAATTTCGGGAGCACACCAATATTTATATTTAGGAAGAATATACAATGATTCTACCACTGACCCGTGGTCGTCGGCCGTGGATTGGCCGTTCAGCCCAAACAATCCAACTTACGTCACGCCGGTTGCGAATACTCAGGATTTGATGTTGTTCCCTGGAACGTGTGCGTCGGAGCATTTGTACAATACCAGTGCTATTGCCTACAGGTATGTTCCACAGGTTGCGTCACAGGCGGCCATCACGGTCGCAGTGGTTGACATTTCGACTGGCTCCTGGACGAATTGGTGTAACTCGGGCACCTGCCAGGGTTCGATGGATCCCGAGATCCCATTTGCCTCCATCATTAATCGAGAGCCAGGCATTCCGCTCACTCTGAAGTCGCCAGCCTTCGATTCGGTGCGTTTCAGCCTAGATGGTTCCACCATTACCGTCACCTTCGACCGTGCCACGTTGAAGGGCGCGCTGCCAGTTGACACCGATGGAAACTACATCCCTGATTACGTTGATTACACCACTGAGCAGACAGGCATATTTGATTGTGCGCGCGCATTTGCCACCGATACAATCACTTTGCTGGGACCATACGACGAAACGTATTGTCAGTGGATCACGGCGGATGCCATCCAGATTAAGTTGCCCGCTACTGGTAGCAACGTGGAGGTCGGAGACTCACTGTTCTTGCTGCCGAACGTTATTTACACAGTGCCGCAAAATGAGGAGTGGTCTGCAGCGGCGAGTGGCGGATATCCTATTTCTCCGCCAGACCCCTTGGTACCGCCGGTGGCGGTGCTCTCTGGTGCGACTACGGTGGACGATTGTTCGCCAGTGGTGATATCAGTGGTTGAGTCGTATAACATCGGCGGCTCGGCCACGTACAGCTGGACATGGCTCACTGAAACTAACGATCAGAACAACCCGATTGACCTCACAAACAGTCCGGACAGGGAGTTTGATGAGCAGAGGATCGCGCTGATACAGGCAGCGCTGGCAGAGGCCACGGCCATGAACAATGTCACGTTGACTCTGCCAGCCGATTATTTAGAAGGCGCCGCCAGCTACATTATAGTGCTTACCTTGGCAGGCCAGTGGGAAGCCGAGACATCAAAAGAGATCACGATCACCAAGCTCAACTTCCCCGCCCCGTCCGTGTATGTCGCAGGCGAAGACACCGTCTATAAGAAGCGGACCGAGACGACAGCGCTCAAAGCCATTTGCACCCCGTCCATGTGTGAGACGAACGTGGAAGAGAAGCTTGGCTACTTGTGGATATCGGATGACGACAAGTTAGACCTCGCTGACCTCGGCATTGTGGCCACTTCTAGCTCGCTGTCAATTTCGCCCTACACCCTCGCGCCTCCGGGCGTCGAAAGCACCGCCACGTACAACGAGTATAGATTCACGGTGCAGTGCTTCGTCGACTCGGAAGTCGGCCGCCTGGAGGAGAACCGTGCGAGCGACACGGTGATTGTGCAGGTCTACAGGTCCGACGTGTACGTGCAGTTCAACACGGGGACGAGGGCCATGACGCAGGGGGACGTGCTCGTGATCGATGCCCGCGGGTCGCAGGACCCAGACTATCCCACGGCCGACGGCTTCACGTTCCAGGGCACCTTCATGTGGTGGTGCCTGGACCCGGCGCGGGCCACCTGCTTCGGAGGCGAGGACGGCCTTCTGGGGAGCACCACGAACCTCCTCGACTGCAGCTACGACCTGGGGAACAAGATCACGGAGGGTGGGACCACGTACTACGTGCCCATTTTCACCGACTACATCTACTGCAAGTACAACAGGGGAACGCTCATGGTGGATACCACGCACTTCGAGACCGGGGAGTACAAGTTCACGGTGGAGATAACACACTACGACGGCCGGCAAGCGTCAGCTGACATCTACATTACTATCGTCGACGAGGATATCCCGCGGATCACACTGGAAATATTGAATACGCAAGTGATGTACCCCGTGACTAGCTCGATTAACATTGAGGGAACAGTTGAAGGGGATGTCGATGCGAGTGCTACGTACAGCTGGACAATCTTCGCTTACGTCAGGAATCCCGAGTACAACGCAGAGGAAGCAGCCGCAGCCGAGAACGATCCCACGAACAGTTACAACATCGACGAGTTCACATTTGTTGAGCAGGCGAGCGTTTTCGACCTCAGCGACACGTCGAAATTTGTGTGGGACCCGATAACGCCGAACCTTGAAATAAAGGCGAACGTCTTGCAGGCCTCCACAGTCTACTCCTTCCAGCTCAACGTCCACATCGGTGACGTGTCCGGCTTCTCGAGTATAGAGTTCCAGACTGCGGGATTGGCCCCGCTCAACGGCGCATTGCTCTGCGATCCCATGGATGGTTCCATCGATACTCCACGCACTATCACCGCCCCAGACTGGTCCGCCACCGACTCGCCGCTGTCCTACTCCTTCGGCTACATTAACAATGTCGGCGGCGACGCGGTGCCCGTCCAGCTCTCAAGTGGCGCCTTGCCGCTCTCTGAGATCACCGTGAGCTACTTGCCTGAGGGGGAGGCGTCCACGGACTACTCTCTGTGGCTCTTCGTCGACGTGGCCACGCCATTCGGTGCGACGACGAGGGCCCTCGAAGAAGAAAAACATACATAAACAAAAACTGTCGGAGGTCCGTGCGGTTTCTTGGATCGGCGCTAGGCCAGCCCTGGCGGCGCCTCTGGGGCCGCCCCGGCGCGCTCCGCGCACCAGGGAGGGGGATCCAGCGCAGATCCAATAATTCCGCGTGGGCTGTCGAAAGATTAGGTGAGTTGTGTGCTTCCCCAGGCTCAGCTTCAGATCAATGTCCGCCCGACAGACGACCCTGACTCGGCTGTGACCAACATCCTAGAGGACGCCGCGAATGCAGATGGAGCGGATGTTGTGAACGTACTTAATGTCGCTCTCTCGATTGACCCGTCGGATCCCGCGATTCAATCGCAGGTGTTGGGAATCCTGACAGACGCTCAGGGCGACATTCCGGCGACTTCTCAAGAACTTCTTGCGCAGATCAATCTGCTAGCGACAATGGTCGATGCTGGAGGCGACGGCGACGAGGTGCTCACGATGCTCGAAACGCTGATCAATCAAGGTCGGATATCGACGTTTCACCCATGCCCCTGCTGCTACTTCCAACCCTTGACGCCGAGGGGCGTAGGACATGGAAAAGAAAGCTTGGCCTCCTGAGGCCAGGCTTTTTGCTATGCCCCGCCCCCACTCTGAACACTCGAGGTGTTGAGTTGTGGGCAAGGGCATGGTGACCAAGCGTCGCTCGTCCACAAGGGGAGCAATACTTCACCACTGATGCGAACTCGGATGGGGATCCGCTCGCTTCGCTGGCCTTCTACGCGCTGGGCGGTATCCTGCCGGACGCCGCGGACGAGGCCGAGGCTGCGGCCAGGAGATACCGGACCAGGAGGCTGGGGGCCAAACCGGCGAGGTCCTTGTTCGACCTCTTCCAAAAGCCCAGCCTGGACATGAGCCACAGGATGCGCAGACGGGCATCTCGCCGCCACCGCCCCGCCGGCGCCATCCTGGGCCCGTCACGGTGCAGGGGTCCTCCCGGGCTTCGGCCAGGAGTTTTAAGTCGGGCCTGTCCCCCTACAGGGGGATTTTCTACGAAAAATAAAAAATACAAACATAGTCCAAAAATAGTCAGGGGACAATTTTTTGAGTATCTGTTGACCTTTTTGGGGTATTTTTGGGGTATTTTTCAGGAGGGTGTGCTGCACAATGGCGGCCCCAGCCGGGCGCGGTGTGGTGGTGCACGGCTTGCCTCCCCATGCGCCGCAGGAGCAGCGCGCGGAGGCTTGAGGCCGAGCGCCTGCAGGAGCTGCGCGACGCCGGCCGGCAGCGGTCGAACCACCCGCCGCCCCGGGGCTTCGGGCAGCCCGTGCACGCCTGCCCGACGGCGTTCTGCGACCGGCCCGCGCTCGCGTGCTTCTCCGGCAAGAAGGCCCGACGAAGGCATCTATACACCACCACCGTGCCAGGCCAGGGCCATCCTGGGCCCCAGGATGGCGTATAGACGCTCTTGGCCTCGGCCAGCAGGGCGTATACACCATCCTGGGGCCCAGGATGGCCCTGCCTTGGCAGGGTGGTGGTGTATAGATGCCTTCTGCGAAGAAGGCCCGGCGGCGCCGGGGAGGGCGGTGGCAGCGACGACGGCGACGTCGTCGGCTGCACCACTTTTGGAGTCGGGCCTGTCCCTCCACGGGAGGAGCACTCAGAAAAATAGTAGGAGGAGAGAGTCGGGGGATTTTTTGTTTGGTATGTTTTGCTGCGTTGGGGCGTTTCTGGCGTGTTTTTTTTAGCTCTTCCTCCAAAACCTGCCTTTATCAGGAGGGGAAAAAGCACACAGACACAATTAATCGTCGACTCCCAGGAAAATATGGGAAAATATGGGAATTGGGCGGGAAGAGAAAAACCCAGAAAATCCGCGCGGAGCTCCGAGTTGTTATGTTCATGTCACTTGTTGTTCCCCTATTACATGTCCTCGCAATGCCGTCTTCAGAGGGCATCAGCGTGCGACAGCGCCTGGTAGTCGAGGAGAACGCGCCGATATACCGTCGATGAGCGTCGATTTGGCGTCGCCTATCGTCGATGAGTGTCGATTGGCGTCGACTCGCGAGAACCAGAAAGGTCGCATGTGGAGGCTCCCATGAATTGACACAGAAGCCATCATGAACCCCAGGATGGGTAACTAATGGAACCCGTTCTGACTAGGTTCTGGTCGAGGGGCGGGGGGAGTGAGGGTTTCCAGGAAGGGCAGGTTGCCTCGAGGGCCTCCTGCCTTCAGGGATACCCTCTCGTGTTCCTTCCCTAGAAAGCCCCCCCGCCCCACTTGTCCCAAGACCCCCCAACGTCGTGTTTGTTCGTTGCGTGGGCCCACAGAGGTCTCGACCCCTTCCCTGGGACTGGCGTGTCATCCTGAGTCTGCTGTCTCATGGAAACAATTCTTGACGTTTCGCACATCCCCACCAGTCCATCCAGAAGAAGATCGAAAGGCGAGTTGCCTTGATCAGGGATGTGTAGAAACACGCAGTGCAACTAGCAACCGCCTTGGAAGTGTTTTCTCGGTGGTCTCTTGGAGCCGTCTTGGGTCTCTCTCAGGGTCCTCGAAGAGCCACTTGAGGCACTCTTGGGACCCTCTTGGGGCTATTTTGACGTGTGTAGGGGCCCTCTTGGGGATCTTTGGGGAGTCTGGGGGGGCCTCCTTGGGGCCGTCTTGAGCCCCATGGCTCAAAGGGGGGGGGGAGACAAATCCAGGTCCCCCCTTGGAGGGTCAAAAATGATGTCTCGAAGCCCTCTTAAGGCACTCTTGGGGCGCTCCTGGGCGCTCTTAGAGCCCTATTGGGGCCCTCTTGGGGTCCTGTTGGATCCCTCTTGGGGCTCTCTTGGGCCGTCTTGGGGCCATCTTGAGGCCTGAAGAGCAGATCGGACGCGAAAAGGTGAGAAGGCACAAACATAGATTTCCTTAGGTTTCCGAAGGATTATGGCATCGTGGGAGGGTCCTTGGAGGGCCGGGAGGGTGAAACCGTCTTGGGGCCATTTTGAGGCCTTCTGGATGTGAGTCGGAGGCTATCTTGTACCATCTTCAGGTATCTGGAGCCACCTTGGAGGCCATCTTGGGTTCTCTGAGGCCCTCTTGGCGCCATCTTGGGCCATCTGGGGCGCTCTGACTACCCGCGGCCACCCCTCCCTCCCAGGCCCCAGGGAGGGGGCAGGAGGAGGGGTCAAGACACCCTCCTAGATCGCAAGCCATCTACCTCACTCCCACTCGCCCTCCCAACACATAAGGAACACCCGAGTCTCTGCATGTTCAGCGGTCGTCTTTGGATGGGCAGCTACTGGGAGCCAAAACCGAGGACAGCTACTGGGAGCCAAAACCGAGCCCATGTGCGCGACGCTGGGGCGAGGTGCGCCACGCTTGCCAGGCGCGCCACACGTGCCACGCACCCCTGGGACCCGAGCGTGCCATGCACGCCTGGTGCGCCAGATGCGCCACGTGCCTCCGCGTGCGCCAGGTGTGCCGCATACTCTAGCCGCGCCAGGTGCGCCACGTTCGGGGCCCTTGCACAGTGTGTCAGGTGCGCATGCGCACGTGACAGCACACATCGGGAAACACGTCGGCCCCCACCATCTATGTCGAAGACCAGTGCCCATCATTGTGTCTGGTGGGCCTGCGCACAGCAGGCCATACGCCACCACTTGATAGTGATCGCAGGGTGACCGAGCATGATCCAGATTTAGCCGCGAGGTGCAGTGCTTGTTTGTTTTAATGGTCGTCATCCTTTTGTTCCCAACCATCGTGCGGTGTTGGGTCTTCGTTTTGAAGAGACAGCGCCTCGCATCACGTGTCCTGTTTCCCCCTCCCTTCTCCTCTCATCCTCATCCTCATCGTCATAATCATCACCATGGCCGTCATCATCACAATCATCGTCACCATAATCGCGGTCATCATCACCATCATCACCATGAGTTTTGGCAATCCCCTCACACGTTTAGTGGCCCAGAAGGGGGCTCGGTCTCCGTGCCGCAGTTCGCATGTTGGCGTCACGCCTGTTTCTGCACACCCCTCACACGTGCCGTGGCCCCATAGAGCGCTCCACCGAGTGCCATTGTGGCGCAGTTCGCATGTGGGCGTCACGCACGTTTCGGCACCTTCCTCGCACGCTCCGCGGCCCCACAGGGAGCTCTATATGAGGCCCCCGTGGCGCAGTTCGCCTGTGGGCATCAGGCCCTTTTCGGCACAGCCCTCACGCGTTTCGTGACCCCACGGGAAGCTCCACCCAGTGCTTCCGTGCCGCAGTTCGCATGTGGGCGTCACTCCCGATTCGGCACGCCCCTCACACGCTTCGCGGCCCCATAGGGGGGCTCCACCGAGTGCCTCCGTGGCGCAGTTTGCATGTGGGCATCACGCCCGTTTCGGTACACTTCTCACACCTGTCGCGGTCCCATAGGGATCTCTACCGAGTGCCTCCGTGGCGCAGTTTGCATGTGGGCATCACTCCCGTTTCGGCACGCCCCTCACACGTTTCGTGGCCCCATTTGGGGGCTTCATCTGAGGCCTTTGTGGCGCAGCTCGCATATGGGCGTCACGCCCGTTTCGGCGCACCCTTCACACGCTTCGTGGCCTCATAGGCGGCTCCATCTGAGGCCTCCGTGGCGCAGCTCGCATGTGGGCTTCACGCCCGTTTCGGCAATGTCCTCACACGTTTCGTGGCCCCATAGGGAGCTTCTCCGAGTGCATCCGTGGCGCAGCTCGCATGTGGGCGTCAGGCCCGTTTCGGCACACCACACACACGTTTCGTGGCCCCACAGGGAGCTGCACCGAGTGCATCCGTGGCGCAGCGCCCTTGTCGGCACACCACACACACGCTTCGTGGCCCCATCGACGCTCCACCGAGTGCCTCTGTGGCGCAGTTTGCATGTAGGCGTCACGCCCGCTTCGGCGCATTCCTCACACGCTTCATGTCCCCACAGGGAGCTCCACCGAGTGCCTCCGTGGCGCAGTTCGCATATGGACGTCAGGCCGGTTTCGGCACACCCCTCACATGTGTCGTGGCCACATAGGGGGCTCCACCGAGTGCTTCTGTGGCGGAGTTCGCATGTGGACGTCGCGCTCATCATTGCCCCCCTTCACACGTTTTGTGGCCCCATAGGGATCATCGAAAGCGATGGCCAGAACGCGGCACTCGCAGCTGTATATGGTGGGGTCCTTCGTCCAGAGAAGCTTCGTCCTCACCTTCCTGATATTTGTCTCCCTTGTCATCAGTCTCGTCGTTGTTCCTACCTTACTATCTATCCGCATGGGTGTAGGAGGCTTAGTCGTAACAGTTTCGATGTTCGCAGTGCGCGGTTCTATCGAAGACACTCCAAGCTGCTAAGTCAGAGCACGATACACAGGCACAGGTATCTCACACGCTACACACACATCTGTCGGGATTTAACCATTGACGTCATGTCTTGAGTCACGCTGGCCTCAAGCTAGCCAGCCTCCAGCATCCAGGGCCCGAGCCTCCACGTAGGGATCGAGAAACCATATCTAGTTGCGTTTCCTTGGTCCCATCCTCCTCTCCCCCTCTGCCCCCTCCTTGCCTCCGCTCTCGTCGTCGTCTCGCCGAAAGGCGCCCGTGGCTCCGAGCCCAAGAAATTCGTAGGGGGGTTGGCCGGGGGGGGGGCGACGGGTTGGTGGGAGGTCGGCCGGGCTCGTTCTGAGCTTTTGCAGCTTCATCCTCCGCACCCGCCGCTTTCTCCTGTTCCTCCCCCTCCTCCTCCTCCTCCTCCCCCTCCTCCTCCTCCTCCTCCTCCTCCTCCTCCTCCTCCTCCTCCTCCTCCTCCTCCTCCTCCTCCTCCTCCTCCTCCTCCTCCTCCTCCTCCTCCTCCCCCCCCTCCTCCTCCTCCTCCTCCTCCTCCTCCTCCTCCTCCTTCTCCTCTCCTCCTCCTCCTCCTCCTCCTCCTCCTCCTCCTCCTCCTCCTCCTCCTCCTCCTCCTCCTCCTCCCTCTCCGCCGCTTTCCCACCCTTGCCCGCCCCCGCAGAGGCAGCTCGATGCGGCGGGTGGGGGGGGGGAAGAGGAGGTCAAGAGGAAAGGAGCAGAGGAGGAGGAGGAGAAGGAGTGAAGAGGCGGACGCGGAGGAGGAGCAGGAGGACGACGACGAGGAGAAGAGAGCTCACCCCGAGCGTGCGGGCTCCTCCCCAGCGCAAATTGCAGCGCGAGCGTTTCTCCTTCTCGGGAGCCTCCCGCTGCAGGGTCTGTGCCTATACCGTGTCACTCCAGTGCGCTTCCCGTGAGCTTCGTGAACGTGGCAGCTTGTTCCCAGTGCACTTCGCGCTGCCAGCGTTGCTGCCAGGAAGGAGTCGCGAATGGGCTTGCCAGCGTTGCTAACAGGAAGCCCACACCGAACGTGCGAGCTCGCGTTTAGGAGCGTTTCGCACTGCCAAGGATCTCGCCAGGAAGCTCCCTCCAAGCGTGCCAGCCTGCGTTCAGCGATCACTCCGCCGCCAGCACTGCTGCCAGGAAGTTCAACCCGAGCGTACTGGCGCGCGCTTTCTTGCTTGAAAGGTTGGCTGGGGCTGGCCAGGGCGGATTGGCGAGGGTAGTTCCTCCATCAGTGAAGCAGTGGCGAAGCGTCCTGGCGTGCCTATAGGCTAGGCCTACCGAACAATATTCTAAGATCCTTTTGTTGTTTCCACGAGATGTTCTTCGAACATTTGTGGCTGAGTGTGTCATGTTTTAACACATCGGGTTTATGCTCTAAGAACATTGTTTTTGTTGTTTGAACATCCCTGGGTTCTAAGAAAATTTCGTGGTAGGCCTATAGGAATGCCGAGACGGTCGGTCCCTGCTCAATTAGGTGATTCCTCCATTTTAGTAGTCATCCGACGGTTTTAAAGTCCAGTCTGGGCCCCCCAGAGCTAGAAAACGACCCCAAGCCTCCCGCCGTAGTTTCCTCTCTTCTCGCCACGCGAGGGGGTCTGGGCTTCGCGCGCCCCCAGAGGTCTCTGTCTGCTGCGACGCCCCCAACGCCGAGACCCTGTGCAACGAGCCCCCCTGCTGGTTCCGGGGCCTCGTTTGCCCCAGCGATCCGGGCCCGGTGCCGCTGCGCAGCGAGCGGCGGGTTCGGCCGAGCACCTCGCGGCAGGTCAAGGCCCGCTGCAGAAGACTTGCCCCACCCCGACCAATTCCCCGTGCCCTGTCTTGTACCGCCCCCCCCCCTCCTCTCTCTCTCTCTCTATCCCCCCCCTCCTCTCTCTATATCTCTCTCTCCCCCTGTTATTTTTGTTTGTCGTTTTCTTTTTTTGGTTCTCTCTCTCTCTCTCTCTCTTTTTATATCGTTATTATCTTCTTTCTCTCTCTCTCTCTCTCTCTCTCGCTGTTTCCTTCGACACGCGATGTCCTTCTTTGTCTCCCCCTGGACGGGGTCCACCGAAGTCCCGGCCTTGCCTCCTCGGGGCCGGCTTCGGATCTCTATCGAGCAGTTCAGTGGGACGGCCGCGGGGGCCCGGCGAGGAGGTCTTCTTGTCTGCCCGTGGGCCGCAGAGCGCTGCCCGCCCGAAGCCCCCCTTGTGTTTTTTGTTGGGCACGGCGCGAGCAGGTGTGGGTCTCTCTCTCTCTCTCTCTCTCTTTTTTCTCTCTCTTTCTCTCTCTCTCTCTCTATCTCTCTCCAGATTCGGGGGCGGAAAAGAGGGGGGTGATGACTAGGGGGGGTTGGATATCATGGCGGGGGCCATGATAATTATTTCCCCAGATTTTATGGCGCCTCTTCTTATTTCATCACGTCCCTGGCCCCCCCGCTGGGCCGCGCACATGCCGCTGGTCATGATTTGCACCCCCCCTCTTGGACACCCCCCTCTTGGCCGCTCCCGACAGATACGATCGCGTCGTTCACAAGATAACAGGGCGGCCAGTTTTTGGCGATCTTCGGCTCCTGGGGGCCCTCGCGGGGCCTCGGGGCCGTCAAGAAACTAGTGGGGATGAAACACTGGGCCTGCGGAACGCCGCATCGAAAAAATCAGGACGTCGCATGCCTGGGTCTCTCTCTCTCTCTCTCTTTCTCTCTCTCTCCAGATCCCCCGAACTCAGGGGGGGAAAGGTACCCCTGCCCCTGCCCTTCCCTCGTCTTCCTCTTGTTGTGGGCCTCCTGGGCGGCCCTCGTCGCCAGCATACACCCTGGGAGAGGTCCGGGGAGTGGCGGTATCGGCACTTTTTATCTAGGCCTCCCAGATGGGGTCCGAGTAGATGTGGTCGCAGGATCGCGCTGCATCGCCGATGCATCGGCGATGCGGCTCGATGTGGAGCGCGTGTTTCCCCATGCCGACGTCGCCGATGCATCGCCGAAATCGCCGATGCATCGGCGAAGCATTGGCAATGCGGCTCGATCCTTCGACCCCATCTACTTGGACCCCATCTATGAGGCGTTTATTTTGGTTTCCTCACAACTGGGGTCCTAGTACACATATCGGGTCAAAAAGGATTGTGCCGCATCGCAGATGCATCGACGGTGCGGCTCGAGGCGGGATTCGACGTTCCCTACGCCCACTATAGAACGATTCTCGCCCACCGGCACCGGCACCGGCACCGGCACCGGCACCGGCACCGGCACCGGCACCGGCACCGGCACCGGCACCGGCACCGGCACCGGCACTGGCGCCGGCACCGGCACCGGCACCGGCACCGGCACCGGCACCGGCACCGGCAACGGCACCGGCACCGGCACCGGCACCGGCACTGGCACCGGCACCGGCACCGGCACGGGCACCGGCACCGGCACCGGCACGGGCACCGGCACCAGCACCGGCGCCTGCGCCGGCGGCATTGGCACCGGCACGGGCACCAGCGCCGTCGCCGGCGCCAGCACCGGCATTGGCACCCGCACCCGCAACCGCACCGGCACCAGCCCTGGCACCGGCACCGGCACCGGCACCGGCGCCGGCGCCAGCACTGGCACCGGATGAAAAACATCATTGACATTGAACATCATGGCATTTTCCAAACAGTGCTTGCACTTAGGGGGCCTTCCCTCTTCTTTCCTAGTATTAGCTGGGTCGTCTGAGGGGCGGTCTGGCGGCTCTCTCCTCCTCGCCGTTGCCGCCCTATCGCCGCCCGTCGTCGTCTGGGCTTGAGGGGCGGTCTGGTTTTCCGTCCTTGCCGTCGCCCCCCCTTGCTGCGTCGTCGCCGCCCGTCGTCTTGGCCTGAGGGTCGGTCTGGCGGTTCCTTGCTCGTCGCCGTCACCGTCCCGTCGCCGCCTCCTCGTCGCTGCCCTGTGCGCCCCCCCAGCGGTTGCAATCCAATCGGTTGCAAGCCAATCAAGTGCAAACCCAGTGGAATCGATTGCAGTCCAATCAGTGGTAAAATTATGCAAACGCAGTTCCCCACATAAAAAATATTAACAGTTTCGTGGGACCCATGGGGTACGACAACATCAACACGAAGGAGAAGCTCATCGAACGAGTAAGTACGCACGAAAGGGCAGACGAAAGAAAGGAGGAGGGAGGACAGGTGCTCAGGAAACGAAGCCTTGTAAATAGTACGGGTTGTTGATACCCTCTTCGCTCTGGCGGGGCCCCGCTGGAAGGGGGGAGGCCTACGAAACCTGGTAAAGAGTAATGCTGTCCGCGACCCTCCTCGTTCAAGCGAGTCCTCCTCCTCCTCCTCCTCGTCGTCCTGCTCCTCCTCGTCCTCCTCATCCTCGGCATCATCATCATCATCATCATCATCATCATCATCACCAGCATCATCGTCGTCATCATCAGCATCATCAGCAGCATCGTCGTCACCCCGTCGTCGTCATCATCAGCATCATCGCAACATCATCAACATCATCATCATCATCGTCAGCATCATCGGCATCATCATAACCATCATCATCATCCTCATCATCATCATCATCATCATCGCCAGCGTCATCGTCATCGTCATCATCATCGTCGTCGCCACCATCGTCATCATCATCATCATCAGCATCATCAGCATCGTCATCATCATCACCATTACCGTCCTTGGCATCATCATCGTCCGCATCATCGTGGACGTCATGATCATCAGCATCATCGTCGTCATCATCAACAACAACACCGGCAACGTCAGCATCATCAACAGCATCGTCATCATCACCAGCATCTTCATCATCATCCTCGTCGTCGTCGCCATCGTTGCCATCATCGTCATCGTCATCATCATCGTCATCATCATCAGCATCATCATCATAATCACACTTATCGCCATCGTCATCGTCCATCACCATTATCGCCATCGTCATCGTCATCGTGAACAGCAGTATAACCATCGTCATCACCATCATCATGATGAAGCCTTCCTCATCGCAAAACTCCCCCTCCTCCTCACCCTCCTCAGTGGGAGGAGTAGGACGTGAGATGGATAGGTCATGTTCTCCCCTCCTCCTCACCCATGTCAGTGGGAGGGCACGAAACCATTTAAATAGTATGGGTTTCCGATGCCCTCCTCGCTCAGACGGGGCCTCCCTGGAGAGGTGGTAGGGGCACGAAACCATGTAAATAGCATGGGTTTCCGATACCCTCCTCGCTCAGGCGGGGCCTCCCTGGAGGGGTGGGAGGGGCACGAAACCATGTAAATAGCATGGGTTTCCGATACCCTCCTCGCTCAGGCGGGGCGTCCTTGGAGAGGTGGGAAGGGCACGAAACCATGTAAATAGTATGGGTTTCCGATACCCTCCTCGCTCAGGCGGATGGAGAGGGCACGAAACCATGTAAATAGTATGGGTTTCCGATACCCTTCTCGCTCAGGCGGGGCCTGCCTGGAGGGGTGGGAGGAGCACGAAACCATGTAATCTTTATGAATTTCCGATACCCTCCTCGCTCAGGCAGGGCCTCCATGGAGAGGTGGGAAGGGCACGAAACCATGTAAATAGTACGGGTTCCCGATTCCCTCCTCGCTCAGGCGGGGCTTCCCTGGAGGGGAGGGAGGGGCACGAAACCATGTAAATAGTATAGGTTTCCGATACCCTCCTCGCTCAGTCAGGCGGGGTCTCCCTGCTGGAGGGGTGGGATACCCTCCTCGCTCAGGCGGGGCCTCTCTGGAGAGGTGGGAAGGGCACGAAACCATGTAAATAGTATGGGTTTCCGTTACCATCCTCGCTCAGGCGGGGCTTCCCTGGAGGGGCGGGAGTGGCACTGCTGGGAGGCGGGAGGCGGGAGGGAGAAGGAGAGGACGTTCTGGGAAAACAAGAACCCGCACCAGCACCGGCCACCGGCACCAGCACCGGCACCAGCACCGGCACCGGCCCCGGCACTGGCACCAGCACCGGCTACCGGCCACCGGCACCGGCCACCAGCACCGGCACCAGCACCGGCACCGGCACCGGCATCGGCACAGGCACTGGCACCGGCACCGGCATCGGCACCGGCACCGGCACCGGCGCCGGCACCGGCACCGGCACCGGCACCGGCACCGGCACCGGCACCGGCACCGGCATTGGCACCGGCACCGGCACCGGCACCGGCACCGGCACCGGCACCGGCACCGGCACCGGCACCCGCACCCGCACCCGCACCCGCACTGGCACCAGCACCGGCACCAGCACCGGCACCGGCACCGGCACCGGCACCGGCACCGGCACCGGCACCGGCACCGGCACCGGCACCGGGGCAAGAATCGTTCATGCCTTCCTACGCCGACGCGTCGCCGAGGCATCGCCGATGCCTCGCCGATACGGCGCGGTCCTCGACCCCAGCTGCTCGGACTTGACCTGGGAGGCCTCTTCTTCATCCCATTGGAACGGGGCTTGACTTGGGACTTGGTCTGGGGGGGAGGAGGAGGAGGAGGAGCAGCAGGAGGAGCAGCAGGAGGAGGAGGAGGAGGATCAGCCTCGACCGCCCGCGCCAGCATCGCCGCCGCGTTGGCGGGGGCCTGCCGAGGGCCACGTTCCCTCAAGCTCGACCCAGGGGCATGGCTGATCGACGGAGTCCCGATGGCGACCAAAGCGGCAGCGGAGAGTCATCCCAAGTTCATGCGACCACCAGCCTCTCAGGCTCAGCAGAATGCGTACAAGACGGACCTCGCTCATGGCCTGGAAGTACTGGCTCAACTCGTGTTGGCGACACGTCGAGCGGGAGCAGACGACCCCCCGCCCCTGGAGGAGATGGCCGTGGTCAAGTGCGCTATCAGCGCGCTCGACCCACTGCCGACGCGCATTGCCCAGACGAA